CATCGTCTTCCGGGTCACGTGCGCAGTGACGTCACTTGAGAAGGCGCGGGGTTCCGGAAAAGTTCTCTCTTTAGAGCCATCAGCGAGCAGCGAGAACTCCTCCGCTCGCGACCGCGTGACCACGTGCTGGCGGGCGCCCCGCGAAATATACGGTGAAAGGAGGAAAGTCTCATCCGGGTCCGGCCATACCCGTCCTTGCCCGTACGGCGCTGCCCCTCCCCCCCTCCGGCTTCTGGCGGCTATTCGCGGTTTTGTGGACCTAGGATAGATGGCGCCACTAAAACTCCGTATAATAAGAGTTTTGTCGATGATACCACGGTTTTGACGCATTTATATATACGCTGGAACGACAAGATTTATAGAAAAGTTACCTTTTATCGAGCTGGTATTCACACAACTTGCTATCTTTTTTACAACTACCCAAGCGACGTCACGCGTCTTGTTTCTCATGGCCACCGCTCGTGCCTGCAGGTCGGGAAATATTCTAAGTTTTGCCTCGCTATTACGCGGCGGAATCGCAACATTTCGATGAAAGGAGGTGTGTTTTCTGCCATTTGTGACACAGTGAACAATATCAAAAGCAGAAAATGTAAATTCTTTCAACGTTCAAATCGTTGCACAGCTCCTATAATAACATGCGTTTGGAAACCAGTATGAGCGCGGCAGGTGGGATACAGAAATATATTTTTATAATCCCTTTTATCTTAAAGGGTAACTGCAAAGAAAAAAAGTTTTTTTTTATACACAGCTTAATTGGGACAAGCATGTCACAAAACAAATGTTCCGCGAAAAAAATGATTTTTTTTTATCAATATTTACGCCACAGGACGAAATTTAGTAGAGTGAGAACCTCTCCGCATTTGAAACTCCCGCTCTTTCGACCCCCGCGGAAGACCAGTACGCCCCACCCCTCACTCTCCTTGCGTTGCGGAGTTGAACGACGCAGCGTCTCGACTTCCGGCAAGATCTGGCAACTACGCCAGGCCGCGGTATTGTTTTGGTTTGACGCGGTTTGCGAGCACATGTAGCGAAGACGTGACCGGAGAAGTGCTCCTGTGATGTTCCCGGAAGACGGAAAGTATCGTTCGTAATCGTCGTGCGCGCTTTGAAAGCGAAGGGAGTCACAGAATCCACGAGTGCGCAACCACAAGCCAAGGTTCACGACAGCGCAGCGTTGGTTTCGGCGATCTCGTTCTGTTTGGTGCAACACGGCGATGCGACAGAGCTGAAACGTTCGTGGTGTGTGTAATGCGGTGCTAACACAGAGCGCAAATTGGTTGTTGTGGGGTTGACGTTCAACCAGTTAAGTCCCGTCGTCGTCAGCTGATCCAGTCAAACTGGTCCCGGAGGACGCTGGGAGCGTTTCTAAAAGTAAACCTGCCTGGTTCTGTTTCAAAATGTGGAAGTTTTCGACGCATACCGTGAGTAAAAAGCTGCGGGCGTTTTCAACAAAATTACGTCGTTTTAATTGAACAATGGACTCCGAATTGTTGTCCTAAATCTGCCGTTTTTATGCTTCGTGTTGGACTGCGTTTGCACAGCGACGTGTTGCATCGTGCGGTATGAATAAATTTGGGCACGATTTCGTACCTGCCTACAGATGCATGAACTGAGACCATTTTTCCGTAGTGGACATACTGCTTTTTTATTTCCTGTCTAGTCGCGGACGTTAGGTGCACACGGGGCGAATCTCGACGGCCTCCAGAGCGATATGACGAGAACGCAACTAGACACGTCGGTCGCTACGCGAACGCTCGACTGCCTCCAGCCAAATAGCATTCCTTTCGGGGCGACATAGCTGCTGGAAGGCTCACTGTCGGGATCACGCATCTGACATCTCCGAAAAGTCAGCATTTGCACACGCGAACAAGCAAAACAAAAAAAGCACGCTAAGCAAGCAAAGAGGAAAACGAAAGAACCGCGCTATGAAAGCCAAAACCCCGCGTCGCTTCCTATCACTAACACCTGCGACAGCTGCTAAACACACACTACTTCACTTCAAGAAGTCTCACTCAAGCACCTGGGTCAGCACGAAACGACGAAACACTGATCACTTCGGCGAAACGATTAGTCGAGGTAGGCGAGACAGGCGGGAGCAGAGACTTCGGCGGCCATGAAAGAATGGCGAAGCTTTTGTTTGTATGAATCCAAACGGAAGTGCCCGTCTTGTAAACCTTTTGTAAAGAATAATAACTCTCATCACATGGGTTATTCTTTAAACGTAAAAATATGCCGCTCAAAAGGAAATTGCAACGTATAACAAAGGTTTAACAACCAAGATCTAAGCTGTCAATCACACTCTTAGCCAATGAGAACCTTTTGGGATTGACGTCACATAATCACAACTTCGTGGCGCACGATTTAAAACGGACGAAATAGCCGCAAACTAAAATGAGTCTTACGCAATAAATATTGCTGTAAAAAATGTTTTTTCTCGCGGAAAAATTGTTTTTTGACATGCTTGTCCCAATTAGGCTATTTAAAAAAAAAAACTTTTTTTTCTTTGCAGTTACCCTTTAAGTCAGAGCGCAACGTACGCTACAAAACGACAGAGCCAATCAAATAGCGGCAAAGGTGCAGCGTCACAGAGTGCATCACCGGGGGACTCAATGTCGCTTGGTTGGTTCTATCGTCTCGTAGCGTCCACTGCTCTCTCGGACCTAAAGTACAACGGAGTGTAACTGCAAGTTTGTCCCATAAAAAAATGTAATCTACCATGATATTACATTTAGTGATGATGATTGTCCATAGCCAGCGGTCACATATCCGTGAGTCAGAGAATCGACCGTGGGCACCACTTGCGCGGTGGTTCGCTGAACCGTGTGCAGCGAAGATTGGCCATTGGTGTGGCGTCGTCTGCTCTGCGCCTAGCATACGACAAAGCGAGGGCGTGCTCGCAGGCGAGGAGAGCGAGTCCGCCACAGGGCGCATGCGCGAAGTTTTGGACGGCGCCAGCTAGCCGGCGCTGGGGGTACGCGACGGCTAAGGCCCCTGAATAAGAAAGGTAGCGACATCTTCCCCCTCCTCCTTTGACGCGCACACCTTTTATCTTTATGTTTTGCTTTTTCGCACCCGTGCGTTGACAGTAGCGCCACCTGGAACACTCCAAGATAGCAGACGGCCTTCCTATACTTGAGTCAGAGCGCAGTCAAAGGCTTGAAGACACGGAAATACATGGACACACTCTAAAAGCGCATTGTCACGGTGTGCCAGCCGCGAAGAATGTGCTCAAAGAAAGGCAATGAAAGCCGCGACGTTGCACAGTCGGCGTTATTTGATTGGCGGCATGAGCTCATAGCATGCACTGCACTCCGACAGAATAGGCACTCCTTCTCCCTTCTCGTCCCTCATGCACTCTTTTATAGTTATCTTTTGCTCTTTCGCGCTCGCGCGTCGACGGTAGCGCCGCCTGGATCGCTCCAAGATAGCAGGCGGCATTCTTCAAAGGATGTCGCTACTTTTCCGTATTCAGGGGCTTTAGGGACGGCCGCCACTCCGTGTTATAGCTAACAGTGTCCACGATAGTCCATGATAAATAACTAAGGTTAGCTTCATTTGCAAACAATTTGTGTGTGTGTACACATGTTACTATCGATCCGTAAAGTGTAAGGGTAGCGCCGCCTGGATCGCTCCAGTGATAAATGATTAATTGATAAATCTGAAAGCTCTTGACATGTCTAATTTTATAAAAAAAAATATTTTGCAAACGCATCTAGCCTATCTGCAGAATCCCAAGCGCTCGACCCTACTACGACCAAATGAAAAAATAGTGTAAAAGCTATTGATGCTTATTCCAGCACCCCGCACTGAAGAGTACAAACAAGTACAGTTCACCCCTGGCGTACAGCTGCGTCGTACTATCAACTTTACAAGACATGGTTTAGACAAATTATCGAAGCTGTTTGCGTGTATTTCTTATGATTTCTCGTCGTCAGAGGACCACTTTTGTTTATCATGCTTTTGCATGATATTTTCTTCGTCATTATTTTACGGCTGTTGAGCTGAACGGGAAAGAGGTTACATCACGCCGTAATGCCCTTGTCTCTTCCTCCTTTGCAAAAAAAAACATCGGCGCAGAAAAAAAAAAACACAAAGAAAACTTGGTATTTTTTATTCATTTTCAAAATGTTGAATGCGCACTTTTTTGTCTGGGACGAAGGCGAAGAAAATTTAATTTATGAGTTCCCATAGAGTGTCCTTAGCACAAAAGAGCTCCGATAATGAGAGTTACAAAATGATAAAGATACATGGTCTAGGCTCAATATTTATTTACGTTTTATAAAAACAAAGTGTTTGGTATATCAGGAAGAGTGGACAATACGAGGAAAGTTCGACACTTTTTATATAAATCTAATGTCTTCTCTTTCTTCAAAAAAACCAAAACAAAAAAACAAACAATTCGGTTTGTGAGGATATATTCGCCCTGAAAAATTGCGTTTATTTGATACGTTTTTTTGGTAGCTTGTGTTTGAAATACGTAGCTTTCTATTCTACAGATATGTTTTGTAGTTACTACAAACAATAGTGCAGTTGTTTGTTGCAAACCGCGTTGTTTTTAGTTGCTTATTATACTCGAGCTGTTTAGCAGAAAAAAATATTTTCATACTAGTTCCGTTCGACACATATTGAGACTTCGAGTTATGTTTGATTAATCTGTTTGTAAAAAAAACTTATTGTATCATCAGATCGCTAGTTCATTTCCAAATAAAACTCAATACATTGCATTTCGGCGACAGTGTGCGTTCCGCTCCCCCCCCCCCCCCCCCCCCATTTCCAAAAAAGGTCAGCCGCACTTCATTTTCTATAGTTTGGTGAAACACCAACTGAATTTTACTGTTTTGGTCAATAACCGACTAATGCTGCTGATGGTCACGAAGAACATGATCAGCCATATGTCTCGAAAATACGTCACTCCTGCACTGCAAGGATTAGTGGAATTTATTGTGCTTTAAAGCGGGTCAGTATGAAATGGAGTGGGTGATTTTGAAAGTGAAGGCTGCTTAGTAGACGACGGTGCCGACTGGGCGGTGCACGAAATGTCCACCTCGGCTCTGGTGCACGGAACTGTGAGAGCCGGTCACCACTGGAGCGTGGTGCACCTCGGCCTGGTGGTATGTGCTGTGGATAAAAAAGACATTTATAAGTCTTAGTTCCAACGAAAAAAAACAAACAGTCATCGATGAGAACTGTCCCATGTCACGAGGTGTAACGTCGGACATGCGAAGCTAGGTGAGGATCAAGTTACAAAACCACGATTATGTTCAAATTATATGCTAACATACATTTTTGTAACCAGACTATAATATTTTTTTTCTTTTTTTGTGTGTGTGTGCTTGCCTCACACGCCCGAAAGTAAGCACAAAGCCTTTCAGGTTATGCTACTTCGGAAAAACGTAGGTATGCAACAACGCGTTCCTATGGTAGCTGCTGCGCATCAACTTCGTAATAAGTCATGATTGCAGAGTTCATGCATTAATGTCGTCAGTAATACAGTGATATTGCCAAGCGTCGTGTTGCGTCTACCCCTGAGTGCTCAGGATTATCGATCTTCATTTACGCCCAAAGCATGACTGCGCACATTTCATTCGCCCGCGAATCGAGCCGCCGCTCAAGGTCGGCTCTAGAAAGATCGACGAGTTGATGAAAGTATAAGGGCCGGAAGACGATCCGTCATCCTTCTCGTCGCCGACCCTTGACTGCACTCTCGCCTGCCTTGCTGTTGCCGTGTTCCTCGGGTTATTTTCGTGGGGCACAAGTTCGCCCAAATAAAACCACCCATCAACTGCATCAACACAAATGGTTTCTGCGGCATCTTCGTGTGACAATATCACAAAGAAAGAAGTGTGTTCGCAGATAATAAAGTTGCGTGAAAATGAGGTCTATATCTTATTGACTTAACAAGCAATTGAAAAAGCCAGTTCTTGAATTCTAAGGTAGCGACGAGAACTCACCCAAAGATGGGATCATGATTGGTAACGGTGGTCTTGGGGTGAACGAGTTTCTGCTGGCTGATGGTGTACCCATGAGCGTGGGGTGGCACGTAGGCCACCTCGCTGTGGTGCTCCACCACCGGCTGACGCACCACCGTGGTGGCCACGGGGACGTGGACGGCGGCGGCGTGGTAGAAGTGTGGGGCCACGTATCCGGCCTGGCAACACGTGGCCAGCAGAACGAGACAGGGCACGAGGACGGCCTTCAAGGAGAAGGTGAATGGGGTTTTAGTTCTGATACTTTAAGTGTAAATGTGTGGACGCCGTGCTTGAGCGCACTGCTGAGCAAGCATGTGCAAACCGGCCTTTTGCTCGTCGTCAGCCAGAATAAAAACGCTTTTCTGGTGCGGAGTGCACTCTACAGAAGTGCTGCTAAAGCCTGCGTTCAACATGCCGCCGGCAGAGACGCACTCTGCAATGGACGATAGAAAATAACACCTATTTAAGGGAATTAATGAAAGAAATACAAGTCATTATTTCACACAAAAAGCCTCTATTCCATCAATTCTGAAGAACCACTGCTTTATAAAGGTCTCTCGAAGGCTCTAGAGTCGACTTTAGAACGCTTTAAAAGAACAGCATTTCTTGGATTAAAAGCCTCCACTGACCCCGAATAACGGGTAGAAATTTGCTGTGTCATTCTTCTTGATCGATGGCTTTGCAGATGCGATGGACTAATAATATTTACTAAAATATTTTATTTTAAGATGCAACCGGAGTACTGTAATTTATGCCGTAATATCGCCTTTATGTTTGCGTCGAATCCACGCCTGTTTAAAAAATAATTTAAGTCATTTTGCGTTACACATATACATTTTTGCTTTTAATTAACTGAGCTGTCAACGGACACCGGTTTAAAACTTTGAAATGACAACGCGCACGTAGTGTACTCACGAAGGCGCTCATGCTGTATGAGTACGGAGATGCCTCGAGTTACTCGCTCGATTGAAGACTGCGCTGACAGGGTTATCGGAAGCGTCTTTTATGGGCTGCTGTGGGGAAATACTGAAAGGTGTCACAAACACGTCTGCTCGAAGAGTGCAGTGTGCCCCACCCATATTACTGTGGCGACACCGCCGAAGCTACGCCTCGCGTTATCCGCCTTGGCAGCGGTCAGCGACATGAGGGAGGTTTACCGACAATGTCGAGATTCGCGTACTACCGGCATCTCATCAGCGTGCGGGGCACGGAATTCGCTTCGTGCGCTACGACTGAATGCCGCGGAAGGTGCGCCTTGAAATGTATCACTATTTCCTTTCGTGTGCAATTGTGGCTGTATTGAGAATATACCCAGGTAGCACGCCAGAGGAATGCCCAACTTGGGCAAAGGTCTGGCAAACATAAGGGCCCAACTTTGGCGCAGTTAGGTTTTTGCACCATGGCACTCATCAGTGCCAAAGTACGGTGCCTAACTATAGCCTTGGGCGATCCTAGGGCATGCCAAAGTTTGGCTCTTCTCTGGTACGCCAGAGGAGTGCCAAAGTTGGTGCCATACTTGAGCCATAACTGCCATAGTAAATCCTAATCTGGGAATGCGGGGCATGCCAAGGTTTGGCGTTTCTCTGGTCCACCAGAGGAGCGCCAAAGTTGGTGCCATACTTCAGCCATAACTGCCAGAGCAACACCCAATTTCGGTATTTGGGACGTGCCAAGGTTTGGCGTTTCTCTGGTGCCAGAGGAGCGCCAAAGTTGGTGCCATACTTCAGCCATAGCTGCCAGAGTAACGCCTAATTTCGGTATTTGGGACGTGCCAAAGTTTGGCTTTTCTCGGGTCCACCAGAGGAGCGCCAAAGTTGGTGCCAGACTTGAGCCATAACTGCCATAGTAAATCCTAATCTGGGAATTCGGGGCATGCCAAGGTTTCGCGTTTCTCTGGTCCGCCAGAGGAGCGCCAAAGTTGGTGCCATACTTCAGCCATAGCTGCCAGAGCAACGCCTAATTTCGGTATTTGGGACGTGCCAAGGTTTGGCGTTTCTCTGGTCCGCCAGAGGAGCGCCAAAGTTGGTGCCATAATTCAGCCATAACTGCCAGAGCAACGCCTAATTTGGGTATTTCGGACACGCCAAAATTTGGCGTTTCTCTGGTACGCCACAGGAGTGCCGACGTGTGCCATACTTGAGCCATAACTACCAAAGCAACCCCTAATTTCGGTATTTCGGCCTCGCCGAGTTTGGCTTTTTTCTGGACCGCCACAGTTGTGCCAAAGTAAATGCCAGACTTAAACCATCACTGCCGCAGTAAATCTTAATTTGTCGATTCGGGGCATGCCGAAGTTTGGCTTTTCTCTGGCTACCCACTGAAGTGCCAAATAAGTGCCAAAAGTGGCAAAGAAAGCCGAGGGGCCAGCCCACGTTTCGAATATCTCTGGTGTGTCACAGAAGTGCTCTTTCACGCGTCCCAGAAGAGAAATAAATTAAATAAGCGTTGGAAACACGATGGTAAGATGTCATCACCTCCGTTCCCAAGCAGCACGGCAATACTTTGCAGTATCGTGCCAGTGCTGGCCAAAAGTCGGTTCCAATATCGCTCAACTGTCCAGTTTTGCACCACCGTTTGATACCCGGCAGGTATTGCCGTACAGCTGTTTCGCCCCGGCCTAGCGTTCGCGCAATATTGTGCGAAAACTCTACGATGATTCTGCTTCGTATTGGCCGAACGTCGGGCAAGTATGTACGTTGCATGTCATTTGTTGCATATCCAATCACTTATACGGACAAACAATTTTTTTTCGAACGCTCTTAGAAGTTTATCAAACAACTATCATTGCACACAGTGTATTCTCAACCTATTTACAGAGGTCACACTTCTCTGTAAAACGAAAATCAAATTATAAAATACAATTAACACTGTCCTCATGCCAAGCAAAACTCATCACACAAAAACCGCGGAGATTGAGAGGAAAGCAGGACGACTATCATAATCATGCTTGCAGTGCACTTACTATAAAAGAGCGATATCATGTAATCCTTGATAGATGCATAATCCAAATCAGGCACCCCACAAACAGATTCGAGGATTCGAGGACTGACGTCTCGTCGTCGGCGAAGAGCAGTTTTTGTCGAAGTGTGTCCAACAAACACATCACAAGTATTCCACGAACTGCGGTGCAAAAAATGGCTGTTACCGAAAAATTGGCATGGACGTATTCCGACCGTTTACGACGAAAAAACACAGCCGCGTCTGCAACGCACGAAAGCAACAGAACACTGAAGAGCAGTTCGAAAACCGGACCTACGTGGCCCGCTTATTTTTATAACTAGGCAAACGGCGAAAACGACAGCCCCAGAGATCCCATCAGCGTGACAGAGAAAGTCGCGTGAAAAGTTTCGTCCAAACGTTTTTGTCCTACGCGTCCTACGTAGAGAGGTCACGCTGGGTCACGCGTTTCGCTTCACCCTTTTGATTTGCTTAAAGCGGCTGTCGCGCTCGCTGACAGCCACACGAAGACACAAAAGCAGGTGGGGAGGATTTGCAAAAGGCGAGGTCGAAGGGGAATCAAGAACGCATAAAAGGAAAGGCCGCTTCTGCCGGTGACCTTTAGGGGGAGGAAGTGGGTGACCTTGTAGCCTTGCCTAGTCTGTCAGCGTTCGGCTTCCATTGAGGGCCTCAGAAAGATAATCTCCTTTCTTGAGAGCGAAATGGACGAGGTGGTTATGTTTTTCGCGCTTGTCGCCATCCGATAGGCCTCAGTTATTTCTGTCCCCACTCGCTCGCAGTGGCCTCCCATGGCTGTCGTGCCGGTGAAATTAGGAGCGCAAAAATACTCCAGAAGCCGGGCGAAGACATGATAAATGTAATAACAAAAACGGCTTGACATAACAAAAATAGCAATTTAATTAAACGTCTCGCCTCCCATGCGGGAGGCATCTTCAGTAGAGCGCAGAGCGAGTGAGAGTCGCACAAAAAAGTTCGGCTATTTAGGCATAAAGTTTGTGTACACGTCCGGCAGGGGGCCACGGTTCTTGTTTACGAGCAATGAATCACTTTCGCGTTTTTCGTTCTGGATGAACCAAGATTCCAGCAGCTTCCTCGGTCCCCACCTTTTACCCCTCGCATTGTCAAAGTCAAATTGGTGTCCTGACGTCCATGCATGGTCGACGAGTTCGGACTTGAAGCGGGTGGCGTTTGTGAAATTGGCGACATCCCGTGCGTGTTCTTTTAGTCTTGTTTTTCTTTTTCGTTCCGTCTCTCCAATGTAGGAAGTGTCACATTCCTTGCACTGCACCTGGTTGATCACGACCCTATCTGCCTCTGGCGGGGTCGGGTCTTTTGGCTTGGAGATAACATTGGCAATTGTTCTGTAGGGTTTGTATACAGTTCGTACCCCCAACGGCCTAAGGGCGCGTCCCAATGCCTTTGAAACCCCCTTAACGTTCGGGATGCACACGACGTCACGTGTTCGTCGGCTCGATCCGGCCGCCGACGGGACATTTGTTTCTTAACGCGATTGATAAACCGGTCGGGATAGTTACGTTTCTTCAAAGCCTCCCGCACAAGGCTAAGTTCTTGATCGCTAAGTGTTGAGTTAGATGGGACTGTTTCTGAACGATGAAGGCAACGATCTTACAACTGAGCTTTTGTGTTGAGTAGGGTGATGAGAGTGGTAGTCAAGAAAGTTTTGTCTGTCACATGGTTTACCATATACGGATGTCTCCATCTTAAAGAAAGATTCACTAGTTCTATGGACACGTACATATAAAAACGGCAAGGTACTATCGGTTTCATGCTCGCAGGTGAACTGAATTGAGGGGTGGACACTATTCAAATTGCGGTGAAAATCGGTTACGTTCTCTCTGTTAACTATTACAAAAGTGTCATCGACATAGCGACGGTAGAACTTCACGGGGAAATCAATGCCAGACATTACCTTTTCCTCAACATATTCCATGACGAGATTCGAGACGGTTACGGAAACTGGACTCCCCATAAAGCATCCGCTGACCTGATGATATATGTCCCCATTAAAACTAAAATTACACTGGTTAAGACAAATACGCAAAAGGAGTATAACGTCATCAACAAGGAGGGTTGTGCGAGTGGACAACGACTGGTCTGCCAACAACCGGTCACGCGCGACATCAACCGCCAGGGCGTTGGGGACATTCGTAAATAATGAAATCACATCAATGGATACCATAGCCTCGTGCGGTAGCAGGGTCTGAGCGCGTATAAGTTCAACAAAGTCACGGGAATTCCGGACGCTAAACTCATTGTTTCCCGTAAGAGGGCTCAGAATTATAACCAGATATTTGGAAAGGCTGTAAGTGGATGTACCAATAACATACACAATCGGGCGTAGGGGGCAACCCGGTTTGTGAATTTTGGGGAGTCCATACATCAAGGGTGTCGCGGCGTCAAAGGAGAAGAGACGACGGTATAGGTCGTCACTGATGCGTCCTTTCTTTTTCAGCTCTCCAAGGTGGTCAACTAACTCTCTTTCGGACTTAGCAGCGGGATCTCTTGATAGCCTCACGAAATAGCGACTGTCATTTATAACTTCATACATCTTCATGTAGTCATCCTATCAAGCACAACGGTTCCTTTTTCTTTGTCGGCCTTTAAAATCATGATGGAGCTGTCTGACTTCAACTCATTAAGAGCAACGCGTTCTTGTTGATCTAAATTTGACCCGGCCGGTTTCGCATTGTTCAAAACACTGACAACGCGGCTTCTCGCGAGATTTACCCCTGTGACATCGTGCACACGTCTGAGTTTCTCTTCAATTTCAATTATGAAGTCACGTTTTGGAACGTACCGTGGAGCAAGGGCATAGCCCAGTCCTTTGGATAGCAGAAATTGCAAGCCAGGGTTGGTAATAGTAACATAAGGTACGTACGGCGGAATTCCCTGCCATAAATAAAATGATTTGGCTAACGCCAATTTAACGCGAAATAGGTGCAAAGAGT